ATGGAAAGGAGAAGGATGGCCTGAAGAATGGAAAACGGGAATTATAGTGCCTTTGGTGAAAAAAGGGGAGGGAAAGAAAATTGATGATTACAGAGGAATAACGTTGATGCCAGTTGCATACAAAGTGTATGTTGAAATATTAAGAGGAAGGTAGGAAAGGAATGTAAAGAGAATGCGAGGTATACCACACAATCAGGCAGGTTTTAGAAGAGGAATGGGAACTATGGAGCATATATACACTGTAAATTATGTGGTGAATAGGAAGTTAAAGGAAAATGGAGGGAAGATGGTGGCTACATTCGTTGATTTTAAAGGAGCGTTTCCATCGGTAAATAGAAAAATATTGTGAAAAGCGCTGAAAGAGAGAGGGATAAATGACGGATTGGCAGAGAGAATACAAGAGCTGTATATGGACGTAAGGGCGTGGGTTAGAGTGGGTGGGAGGTTAGGAGAGGAATTTTGGATAGGAAGAGGTTTCATGCAGGGATGCCCGTTGAGTCCAATTCTCTTCAGTTTGTTAATAGCGGACATGGAGGAGAGACTGCAAAAGAGAGAGAAAGGTGGTGTGATCCTAGGCAGAGGAAGAGTGTATTCGTTAGCGTATGCAGATGACGTAGTATTGATGGCGGAGAATGAGGCAGGAATGAAGTTTATGTTGAGTGAGTTTGAAAAGTATGCGTCTAATAAAGGTCTATGGGTAAATGCGAAAAAAACGAAGGTCATGAGATTCAGGAATAGAAGAAGGAGAGAAAAAAAAGTGTGGAAGATAAATGGAAGAATGGCAGAGGAAAAGGATGAATTTTGTTATTTAGGGTTTTGGTTTAGTAATAATGGAAGACATGAATTGAATGTGAGAAGAAGGGTAGAAAGAGCATGCAAGAGTATGGGGCAAGTATGGGGAATAGGGAAGAGAAGGTTTAAGGATGATTGGAAGAAAAGAGTGTGGTTGTTTGATGTATTAGTGTGGTCGATTGTGAGTTATGGTGTAGAAGTGTGGGGATGGAAAGAATGGAAGAATGTGGAAAGGATGCATGAGAGGTTTCTCAGATGGGTGATGGGGGTGAGTGCAAATTGCCCAGGATACATGTTAAGAGAAGAGTTAGGTAGTGAAAAAATGGTGGTGCGGCAAAGGAGGAGAGCTTGGCGGTTGGAGGAAAAAAAATGAGACTAGAAAGAGGAAATGAATGGACGCATTTGTGTTGGAGGATGGTTAGAGAGGAAGAGAGGAGAAGTGAGAAAGAATGTACAGTATGGGAAAGAGAGAGACAGGAAGCGTTAAGAGAGGGAATGAATGGGGGGCGTGGATGGATGGAAATGAGCATAGGGTGGGTGGACAAGGATGAAAAGGATAGATGGGGTAAGATAATGGGGTCCAGATACAACGCATGGTATAAAATGGTGAAGGAGGAAGGAATGCCTGAATATTTGAAAAAAAGAGCAAGAGAAAGTAAGTGGTGTAGAGTGATGAGATTTAGAATAGGGGAAGGAATGGGAGTGTGTAAATATTGGAAGGCTGTGCAAGAAAAGCTATGTAGAGTGTGTGGGTATGAGGAGGAAGATTGAGGACACGTGTTGGAAAGATATGCAAAAGGAATGGATGAGAATATTGGGGTAGATGAGAGGGTTGTATGGATATTGGATAGAAGTGGGCAAGGAGAAAAGTGGATGAAGGATTTGGAAAGAGTGAGAGAGGGACAGGGTAAAGTTTAAAATTCAAAGTGGGTGGGCGATTACGACATAATTTTATAATTGTATATGAAGAGTAAAAGCCAGAAGTCAAGAGGAACGGGAAACGGAAGCCCGGGCACAGGCAGAATAGAATAAGTTTAGAATAAAATGTAATTAGGTTAATTTTAAGTTATGCGTGCGATTAGGTTTAAATAGTACTAAGATCATATACAATAATAAAAAAATTTTCCCTCAACCCAAGGCTGTTTGGACGAATCGAGCGATCACGGATTGGGTCCTGTAAAGGGAAGTGGTATACCTTCACTCTATCGGCCTGTCCCGGACTCAGACCTCGAGTAAGTCAATTACAGCGGTGAGCCTGTGTAGCGTTCTCGGGCTTGATGACAATATTATTTTATGACGCTTAATGAGTTTTTCAAAAAAATTATAAAATTTTTAAATATAAACATTGTTTAATTTATTTTGATATATTCGTTTTCCTCAGTACTTCACGATTACGAGCATATATTGCTCCAATAATAATAAATGTTAATATTCAAAAGTTTTATAATTTTAGTTCAATTCAATAAGCCTATATGATGTGTTGTAAATCGATTTAACCCAAAGGTGCTGGCACAAAAAATTTTCTTCTTGCTTTTTATTCTCCAGTACATATAACCACATGGTGATTGTTCGAACCGGGCTGGTAAAGTAGGGGACACAACTTCACCTTTCAGGACAGTATTTAAAAGGTCATATACCATCTTACGAACCCTCAACTGAAAGCTGTTTTGACAAAACAAATTTCAGGTAGAAACCTTCGAGAACCCTTATTATCAAAGTAAAGATATATATGTATGTATAATGTAATAATAATGAGAAAATTCAAGTACTAAGAAAATGTGAATGAATGAAGGAATGAATACAAAGATTATTATTCTATAATTGTTATTCCTTTGTAAAAGTCATACAAAAAAAATTATGTTAAAACTTGTCAATAAAATAATTATCAAAACATTTATCGCATATTGATGAAAATATTTAAAAAATAATAATTAAGTTAATTTTGAAAGTCCTAAGTACACCGCTTTTCCGCCAGAGGCGTCATAATCGATGATATCTAATATGCAATTTCGGATCAATTAATTCTCCTATAATAGGGCTATGTTTTTAACAACAGTATCTCTATTTCTAATAAGATTCACTCAGAATATCCCAGCATTCTTAGTAACACTCGAATCTCGATAAAAATGGTTCGATTGAAATCTAACGAGTGAAAAGATAAACATTGGTTTTAAAACACTTTTTTCTCAAAAAGCGGACATTTTTTTTAATAACAAGGATTCTTATTTTGTAAATTTCTTAAATCCGAAAGATTGTGTAAATCTATACATAAACGCGATTTTAAAACGAAAAGTTAGAAATTAATATAATAACAGCTGCGACGTTATGCTCCTTGCATGCTTCTGCCACCTAACGGATGCAGGACGTAATAAAGCTAAAATTATACATTTTACAATAATTGTACAAGTTTTTTTAAAAAAGTAAATCAAATCACAAATAAAAAATTTCAAGGGTGATTTCTACCTCTAAAATAGTGTCTGGTGGAAAACAAAAGACGAAGAAAAAAATATTTTTCGAAAAAATACAAAAATGTTAAGAAACTTATTTAAAAAAATTATAAATTTTTAAAAAAATTTCTGACACATTAGATCTGCCATTTAAAATTTTTAAAAACTGACTTCAGATTCTTGATCAGCGACCCCGAAATTACCCGACTAACGATTTAAAAGCGAATCCGATGAGTTTTTATTTTCTCGTCTGCCATATTGGATTCGCCATTTTGAATTTTTAAAAACGGATATTATATTCGTAATCAGCAACCTCGAAAACCCCCGAGTAACAAGTTTAAGGCGAATTCAATGAATTTTGAAAAATGTCTGCCATTTTTGATCCGCCATTTTGATATTTTTGAACTTTTTCAAATATCATTTAAGGCTGTATAGAACACGTATCAAAAAGCATGTTTTCTGACATACTAAATTTTTTTTTGTTATCAATTCCACATTTATTTAGCAACAAATAGAATATTTTTTTGCTCCACGACTGCTGTGGATAGACGTACAAGTCCGCTATTTTGGATTTTTTAAAAATGTCATAGATTAAAAAATATAGGCTTTAAGCTTTAATTTAAGCCCTTGTTGAAATTTTTTCGTTGAAACCAAAAATGGACAGATATGGGGTAAAATTTGACAAAGAATGCCATATACGAAAAAGAGATTATTTTCGGTGTACGGAACCCTCGAATTAGTGCGAGTGCAACTCGCACTTGTTTTGGAATAAATCGATTTACACTTACTAATATAATAACTTGTTTTCATTGAGAAAACCAAAATAAATGTATATAATAAAAGTAAAAAACATAATTTTTTTATAAGTGCCCAGATAGCACAACAATTTGTCACAATTTTGCAGCAAGTTTTATTTTCCAAAAAATTGCATTTACAAATTTAAGAAAATTTTCCGTATCATTTTTCATCAAATTGTTTTTGAAATTCTGCAGAAAACTCATTCAGCTTTTTTACAGTGATTTTGCAGCAAGTTTACACTGCAAAGTTTAAAAAGGGTGGACATATCGATATTTGCCACAGTTTTGCAGCAAGTTGGCAATGCAAACTTGCAATTTGGCATTGCCAACTTGCTGCAAAATTGTGACAAATTGTTGTGCTATCTGGGTGGATTAAGAATATATTTAGAATCTGTGAATTATGCGTATTGTAAGAGTAAACAAATACAAATATATTGTTAATAAAAAGTTGAGAAAAATTCGATCCTTGGAAGGAATGAAATAACATAAAAATTGTATGTTATTAATATTGTTCATTGTCACAAAACAAGAAACGACGTTTCGATGACTTGGTTCGTCATCATCTTCAGGTTAAACTTACAAAAAATTAATTGAACCGTTACATCTTAGCGTTAAAATTTTATTTTACACAGACTATGCTGGCACGTCAGGTCTTGACGATACCGATCTATAAACCTGACGTGCCAGCATAGTCTGTGCAAAATAAAATTTTAACGCCAAGATGTAATGGTTCAATTAATTTTTTGTAAATTTAACCTGAAGATGATGACGAACCAAGTCATCGAAACGTCGTTTCTTGTTTTGTGACAATGAACAATATTAATAACATACAATTTTTATGTTATTTCATTCCTTCCAAGGATCGAATTTTTCTCAACTTTTTATTAAACATTCCGGAAGGGAAAATCCTTACTCTACAAATATATTGTTATTTAGAAGTTGAAAATAAATTTTTTGATTACAGTTATTCTTACAACGCAGTTCATTTTGCATTATGCCACATATATAGCGGCGAAAGTAACATTCCTGATACCATAAGTATTATGGAATTGGCAACATTATCAGACATGCTTTGCTTAGAAGGTCTCAAGGAAGTAATAGGATACACTCTTAAAGTGAAATATTGCCACTTATTTCATAAAGTAAGTATTTCCATTAAAAATGGCAAATATTTAATATTCAGACTTTTTTTAATCTGAATTTAAAAATTTTTTACAGCCTTGTCAAGTTTGTGCTGTAGGAGTTTTGGAGTGTATGCCTCTTGCTGCAGCTTACGGCTTAGATGAATTGTACCGAAAATCCCTGAAATGGGTTACTCGACATTTCGTGAGGATTTGGCCTTGCAAAGCTTTTGCTACTTTGCCCAGAGAACTCATGGATAAATGTTATCATCAGCACATTGTTCATATGGTACTTTTTTATTCGATATATATAAGGTGGTTAGGCAACACGGTGTGTCTGAAGCAACTTTAATTGACAGTGTTTTGCATATGAGATTTTTTTGTAGTTTATTATTCCAACGCCCCCTACAAAAATATTAAGACCCTAAACGTAAGTATACGTTGGTTGCTTTTAAAGAAAAGTGATTTCTCTGGCGGATTTGATTTACCCAAGTTCGACCCAGCTGGAGCGAATCTAAGTCAGATTTGGGTAATTATCAAAACAAAGCTTTTAATTGATGAAAATATTTAAAAATAAGTATTGGGAGGGTAAATGAACATTTATAGAGTTAATTTTTGCAAGAATTTCAATTATTAAAGTGATAAACAATTAATAGTCACTTGATTTGTGCAAGTGGTACATAGGTATAAGCACAACAATCAAATAATGTCAATTTAAAAAATTAAATAATTTCTCAATTTTAACTTTTTTACACCACGAGCAGACATTTTTCTTTCTGTAATGGGGAGGAGTTTAAATCTTAATTTTTAAGGCAAAAAAACTACACCTTTTATTTAGGGGATGGGACTAAATATTGTCAAAATAAAAAAATTAAATTTTTTCTTTATTTTTGATTTTTGATCACATGAATAGAAATCTTTCTTTCTACAGTGGGAAGGAGTTTAAATCTTAATTTTTATTGGCAAAAAATCTTCATTTTTTATTGAGGCGATGGAACTAAATATTGTAAAAACTAAAAAAATTAAATTTTTCTCCATTTTTAATTTTTTAAGCCACAAATAAAAAATTATTCTTTCTGCAGGGAGGAGGAGTTTAAGTCCTAATTTTTATTGGCCTCCCCTTTACAGAAAGAAAAATGTCTGCTCGTGCACTGAAAAAAAATAGTATTGAATCAAGAAAATTTTACTTGCTTCAAGTAAACCGTGGAATTGAATAGGGACAAGTCAATTACGGCATTGGTTCAAGTAAACGATTGTCTTGAGATAGTATATATTTGGGACGAGAGCATATATTCTTGATCCAAGAAAATATGGAATTCGAGCAATATATTAATCAACTTGTAACAAATGTGAAATACATTAAAGGAAGAAAATATTTTCTTGTTCTGAGAATATATGTAGTCAAATCAATTGTTTCATTTGATTCATTGAAATCTTTGCAATATTGGATCAAGTAAGAGAAGATTTAAATCAAAATATTATTTATATTGTGAGGAGACCATATGTTCTTGGTCCAAGAAAATATGGAATTCGTCTAAGAAGTTTATTGACTTCTAAGAAATGTAAAATATATTAACTCAAGAAAATATTTTCTTGACTTGAGAAAACTTATGGAGTTGAACCAAAAAAATATTTTTCCAATACAAGTAAATATTTACTTGAATTTACCCCTTCCTTATCCCACCATGTCTAATTCTTAAGTCAAACATTTTTATTTATTATTAACATTCATATTTTTTATTATTTATTTAAATAATGTTTATTTTACATACACATTTATATTTAATTAATACTTAACACAACTAAAACAAGTATACCTTGAATGAAAATTTTTCACGGTCCGAGGAACTGAACCCGAGTTGCGCGCACCAAAGGCAGTAACGTAGACCACTATGCCATCCTGACTCAATTGATGGTTTTCAAAAACTCCTATGTAAGATTCACATCCATTTGGAGAGAAATATTTTCTTGGATCAAGAATACGGGATTTGTATTAAGTAAAAAATTAATTCAAAGCAAATGCATAAAACTATTTGATTCAAGAAATGGAAATTCTTCAGACAATATTTTATTATTTTGCTTAATAACCTAATATGTATTCTTGATTGAATACTTTTTGGTACTTCGGGAAAATAAAATATTGGGTTGCGATAATAACATATTTACTTCTGCCAAATACTAAATTCTTAATTCAAGAACTATGCGTTAATCAAGTTAATTAATTAAATAAAAAATATTTTCAAGGAAACAAAAAAATGATTTCCTTCAAGATTATATCACTATTTCAACTGAAAAAATAAATTATTTCATTTAAGATAATATAATATTATTTCTAGAAATTGAATGTTCTTGAAACAATATAATATGAAAATGCTTAAAGTATATTAAACACTTGGATTGATTAATGTTTAATTCAATTTAATTCTTTGTCACTCACTACAAAAAAACTTGAAACGAAATTTATCTGCATAAAAAGGCACACGCAGCTGTTTGTGACTTTACGTAGCTGATGCGCGCGCAGTGAACGCTCGTAGTAAATCAGCGTGCTTAAGTTTGGAAAAAATATTTCTTTGATTCAAAGAAATTTTTCTTTAGATTAAACATGTCTGTTAAAAAAATTTCTTCAGTTCAAAACGTTCCAAAATCATTTTTTCTTAAAATCAATTAAATTTTTCTATTAAATAAATTTTATTTTTGACTTAATAAGTGATTTTATAAAATGATTTCTTTGATTCAATCAAATCATTTTTATGTGTGTAGATAATCGTATTTTTCAATAATGAGTATTCTTAATCAAATAGCGTTACTTTTCAGATACGCAGAAAAATATTTTTCCTATTCTAATAACAATATTTTCTTTATATATGTACGTGTACTTACTGAACAACTCGAATAAATAAATTAGGGAATCAAACTTATAATATGTATACAAGTTTATATTATTGCTTCAGGAAAATTGCTTGATTGCATCACTTAATTCGACCGAAAAAATAAATTATTTCAATTAAGGGAATATAATATTTATTCAAGAAATTCAATGTTTTTGAAACATGATAATATAGAAATGCACTAAGAACAATGAAAATTCAATTTAATTAACGTTTATTTCAAACAATATAATTTTTTATCAGGTTTAAACAAACATTTAATTACCCAATGGGAAAAATACCATTGGCGTATTAATGGCCCAATAATGGGAGCCAGGGATGCCAATATAATTCCAATAATGGCACCCAATAATGGACCATTATTGGTAAAGTCATGGGCTGTCCACGCCGATGCCAATGATTGGCAACCATCATTGGCAAATTATTGGCAACCAATAATTAGCCAATATTAAAAATTTTAATAATAATTTAAAAAATCAATAATTTAAAAAAAAATTTATATTTTTATTATTTTTTAATAGTTATTATTATTATTATTTTATTTTTAATAATTAAATTAAAATAAAAAAATGGTCATCAAAGTATTAGTGAAACTATTTCTTCCAAAAAAGAGTTTGTCTCAAATCCAATTAATAGGAGAGACATCGGGCAGAAAAAAATTTCGACGAGAAAAAAATTTTAGATCACTGCTTATATACCAATCAAGTGGCATCTCAACTGCGAGAAACAGTGATGTTCGCCCTCCCTTTGCGGCGTTGAGTGAACTAAAGTCCAGAGCTGAGCCATCAGCGCAGCGCGGGAACATTTGAAAAATTTGATTTTATTAGATATTTTATTTTAAATATGACAAATAATTAACTTAATAAATAATTAATGTCATTAATAATTATTAATAACATAATGTCATACTTAATAATTCGTTAATTATTATAAAATAAAATATCTAATAAAATCAAATTTTTTAAATGTTCCCGCGCTGCGCTGATGGCTCAGCTCTGGACTTTAGTTCACTCAACGCCGCAAAGGGAGGGCGAACATCACTGTTTCTCGCAGTTGAGATGCCACTTGATTGGTATATAAGCAGTGATCTAAAATTTTTTTCTCGTCGAAATTTTTTTCTGCCCGATGTCTTTTCTATTAATTGAATTTGAGACAAACTCTTTTTTGGAAGAAATAGTTTCACTAATACTTTGATGACCATTTTTTTATTTTAATTTAATTATTAAAAATAAAATAATAATAATAATAATAACTATTAAAAAATAATAAAAATATAAATTTTTTTTTAAATTATTGATTTTTTAAATTATTATTAAAATTTTTAATATTGGCTAATTATTGGTTGCCAATAATTTGCCAATGATGGTTGCCAATCATTGGCATCGGCGTGGACAGCCCATGACTTTACCAATAATGGTCCATTATTGGGTGCCAATGGTTTTTTCATTGGCTCCCATCATTGGGCCATTAATACGCCAATGGTTACTCGTGGCAGTTTCCCATTGGGTATATTAATCTTCTTATTTTCTTGGCTCAAAACTATAAGTGTTGGATTAAGTAAAAAATATTTTAAAGGAAACAAAAAATTGATTTGATTCAATTGTATGACTTAATTATACTGAGAAAATTAATTATTTTAATTAAGAGAATATAATATTCTTTTAAGAAATTCCATGTTTTTGAAACACGATTATATAGAAATGCACTAAGTAGATAGAATATTTAGTTTAATTCGTGTTTATTTCAAGCAATATAACTTTTTATATAATTTAAACAAATATTTAGTTATATTAATATTCTGATTTTCTTGTCTCAAGACTATGAGTGTTGGATTAAGTAAAAACTGTTTTTAAAGTGAACAAAAAAGTGATTTGATTCAAGAAACTAAACGACTCCACGTACTTTACTTAACATAAGAACATAATATTCTTGTCTCAATACTTTTTGGGACTTCGTGCAAGTAAAATATTTTTTTGAAAGAATAACATTATTTGCTTGTATGGAACTCACATTTTCTTATGTCAAGTACATTGCCCAATGCTAATAACTACTTGGCACAAGAAAATAAATTTCTTCCATTAAGATGATATTGGCTTGATTCAAGTAAAGTATCTCAAGTAAATGCATTTACTTGATTCAATGAACTTTTTTTTCAGTGTGGTGTAAAAAAGTTAAAATTGAGAAAATATTTACTTTTTTAAATTGACATTATTTGATTATCGTGCTTATACCTGTGTGCACCTTTTTCGGCATTTCTAAGAAAATTTTAATAAATTGATTATATTTTATGGTTAATAAAATAAATTTAATAAATTAAATTAAGATAATAATGAGATAGTTGTAATTAACAATTTGAATTTACCCGCCAGAAGAACATGCGCATTCATATTCGCGCACTTTT